TTTTCTATATGTTGGAGTTTTTCCACAATGGGTCATATTCACCTCCATCACTTTTGTGGAATGGCTATGGTCAAAAAAATTAAGATGGGAAACCGAAATTTGCCACAAGCTTTTCTTTGTCAGTTAAGAACATAAGGTTAGAAAAAGGGCGCTATATACCCGAAAAAAAATGTAGGAAAACACGCGACATTTTCTTCGTATTTTCGTCTAGATCCTTCAATCCCGTATCCGAATACCTATGACGCAATTCAACATTCTATGGAATCAGCATCACAGTTAGTTTACAAATGGTTTCGATCGGTTTACTCAAGTGCATAATTAAGGAATTTCCTGTCTACTCTAACGCTCATTAGCATCTTTTCTCTCATTCGGTTACAAATAAATTCAACATAACTAGGACAAATAATTCGAGTAAAAATTGGATCGTTAATTGTGAACGTGAATGTGAAAGTGGAAGATGTGCAAGCGATGTCGGTAGATCTAGGGTTAAACTGAACAATCCGATTGCACAGTTCATAATTTTTCTTCGCTAACAAAACAACAAAGTAGAAAAAATAACAAAGATTGCACGTGAACCCATCTGTGAACCCGTTTATGACTATCTTAAGTTACGTTATATTCTTAACAATGACGACATCCAAGTATTTTGTAGAAAAACTCGAAGAAACGCACATCTTTGTTTGTAGTTTTACTTAAACGCTAAACGATCGGTATGAAATGTTCAACATGAACAATATGCTATACATATTATACTGAATATGATACTGCAACTTTGTTACACCGCACCGTCAATACAAATTTCCAAGCATTTCTCGGAATTTTTATAATAATATTTTTAAGGTTTCTCCATTTATGTCAATTATGTAATTGGTTTATGCCAGAAATAGGTTTTATAGAAAACAGTCAATAATTAAAATATTCATAACTATGAAGATTGCATTAAAAATTGCATTAGTTCAAGTTAAGCGGAGTAAAGGATGCAATTAATGGTAAACCCTACAAAAACTTTTTTCCGTTAATACCTTATAAGACAGTATATGCCACGACATTTGCGCTTCTTGCTCTCACCTTTTGTAATGTGTTCTTAGGAAAATACGCAGCACAAAATATGACTTGAGATCGATCCTTTTTATTACACCCATCGATTTTGAGTTAATCTCTGCCTCTGAATTTTCCGTTTGCGTGTCTCTCCGACCATGTGTTTACGCGTACCGCGGTCTAGCATACCCGCCTGTGCTTCCTTTTGTCTGTTCGTATGACGCGCGCCTTATTTCTCCCGATATTCCTATGCATGTTGTTTCACTTGTATGATCTCTCATGAAGATTACGACTGTGCATGGCAACCAGATTTAATTCTTCGTATATTACAACGAAAACAATGGAAGGACAATTAGTTTTCTGACAAAAATCTCAGCCGAATTGAAGTTCGTCGACTTTGGTTAACGGTTTAAGACCGACTTTTGTATCAGGTTTTTCAGCAAGTCGTGTTTATGCTGCGCAGATGATGTAGAGTCGCTCGTCTCGATTATGCGTTTTAGGCTGATTAGTGTCAATTTCTTTTTTCTTTATATATACATAGAAGCTTAGTTCTTGAGTAAACGAATACGAAGGCACACAAAGTTACTTTTGCTTAGGTAATGTAGACTTGCAAAAGTGATGTGAGACTTCAAGGTATCAGGCATGTACTGAATGATGTAAATATAATTCTTTTGCATATTTTGCAATTAAACGGAAAAGTATGCGCAAAATCTTAGTTTTCTATATATCGCTGAGACTTTGAGAAAACCGTTTATAAAGCTAATGAAAGTTATCCGACTAGCTTTGTCTAAACGACATTGGAATATAAATCGTGGCTTTATACCTCTTAATGGTTCATTTTATGCAACAAAAGAAATATAAACGTTTATCCAATGATGATGAGTTTCAGAAAAGAGAAACGCAATCATTTTGCATAAGAGGGATGGGTTAACTTAAATAAAGTGTAGCTAGCATTAAACCAATAACTTTTATGATCCCTCGTAAAGTAAAAGACTTTTTTTTTTTTATTTGAAAAACGAGACAAATTCATGCTTAGAATTTGAGTCGGACTTTCTTCAGCTAAGAGATATGAAAAATTTTGCACTAACTACGGTTTGTGTAATAAAAACTTATCGAACTTGTTGACATTTCTTTCCTTTATAAACTTATTATGCAAATATAAAAAGAAAGTTTCAGTCTCTTTAGTTACTTGATCTCGATATGAACAGTGAACAAGTTCATCGTTGTTGGTGGTCATCGTGTGTGAAAATAAGGGTTTTTTTAATATTATTCTATATAATAATTGCTGAACGCAGCGTGCAAACGTTTTCATATCGATAATGTGAGAAGACTTGCTGCATGCCTACCCATTAGATAATTGGGATTAAAGCATGCCCGCATGAAAACATATCCAAATATTTGTTTTTGAAAAGCTTCACCCTTTGTCAAGCTCACATGTTCTTACACTTTGCAATTTATTATGTACATGTATATATACATATATATATATATAAATATTAATCATATATTTGTTACTGAATTTTTTTTCTTTTAATATTTTCATCAAATATTTTATCAAGCTAACCTAACTTGAGCATTTTTTTTTTATCAATTTCTTATGCAAATTGTCTGACTGCCACACAAGTATTTATCAATATGAACTAACTATTTTCAACTAACTGCTTTTAGACGGTCTAATTGGTCTAGCTGAACCTGTACGCTGTCCAAGATTGATACTGAATTGTAATCCCTAGTGCAGTGTGTAAAATCGACTCCAAAGTTCAACGACGCATTAAATGTATGATTTGGCATAGTTGAGGTCTACAACCGCATTTTAATATTAGGTAATACCGTGATTGCTCCCCTCTTGCCTTTAGAACAATCTAACGTTCTTGATATTTCCGTTTACAAGTCGAGGATAAACAAATATTCCTCTCCTTTTCCTTCTCGTTACTACCTGCAATCTTTCCTAGCCAGCGGCACGTCTAGTTGCACGACAGACATAGCCATAATGGCTGCTGAAATAAAAACAAAAAAGAAGTAAAAATATCTTAGTTTACATCGTTAAATATATGATCTTTTATTTCTCTCTATTAATATATATAGTGATAGTGGCTTTATATGTTAAATGGAAAAAATGTTTATAAAATATGGTCGTATATACATATTAAAGAGCAATAGGAGTTTGTTCGTAAAGTTTTTTATCCACAAGGTATTGCGTATTTTATAACACATACCAGAGAAACTAGGAACGGCAATGATAAAATTGGTAAATTTTTAACCAGTAAAAAAAGCATAAGCTAAATATTGCAACGGAGCGAGTTATTTTTTTTACAGATCACACAGAGATGCAATAAAAAACGAAATTATTGCTACATTTACTCTCCTATTAATTATGTCAGTTCTGTTCATATCTTAGAAAAGACAATTTTTATACCTTACACGGCTTGTGATGCAAGGGTATATTAGGCTTGTGCCGATGCCTATAACACCCAATAAGAATTGAGATAAACCCACTGTTCGACTCAAGGACAAGCGAAAGTGCTATTAAAATTTGTGAGAATCGGATCGTTTTTTCGAGCATTTTTTCGAGCAAAACAAAGTTGTTGTTGTATTTAATGGTGGCCATGACATACTGTAAAGTATTTGCCTATTTGTTAGTATATTCAATGTAGACCGACTTTTTTAATGCTCGCATCTAGCTTACAGGTCATATAAATCGTATATGGACTTATCGATCGCGATAGGTAAGGACGGAGATGGTTTCGCATAGCTTATCAACGAATCCATGAATGATGCTACTACGAATTTATTCACAAAAAATGTTTTATAAACAATCTTACTCGGCTTATTGTTTTCGTAATAAATCTAATGTTATATGACGTTAGAAGGTGTAGTTTTTGTTGTTTAACTCTCTAACATAGGTTTTATGTTCGCAGCCGAAATTGTGATACAACAAAGGTAAGCAGCAGACGCGCAGCTAAATAGAGCTAATCATGTAACGTTGCTAGTTGTGGAATTAAAAATCTTAAATGGTGAGAAAGTGTGAACATGAACAGAGCATTGGGCAACGAAAAGTTGCTTGCGACAGCCAAGACGGGTTCGCGCTTGTTACTCTGAGAGCTTGCTACGAGTTCGAGAAAGTTATTCTGCCGTCTTTTACTAGTTTTAGGCAAACCGCACCGACCCGCTCTTGGATCACATTGCACTAGACGATAGAAAATCGATTCAATACGAGAAACAGTGGTGCCGCTAACTCCAAACGAAGCCTTACAAATCCCTTATTCCTGTACATCGGTGACGGAAAAAAAGAAGAGAAGAATGAAAATTAATAGGGAGTTGACAGGAGCGCAGCTACTACACTAGCACGCTTCGACCAAAGTAAAGTTTACCGTACTGAAATTTTCAACATGCGATTGTTAGTCGCGGCTCTTAACTACTTGGCTAGCTTTGCGAACATTAGGCACAAGTGCGTCAGAGATCGTCCAAAGTAATCCTTTGGCGGTTATCAAGTCATTACATAATCCAGATAAAACAATTACAATAGAGAACCAACGTCAACATAGATCTCAACGGGCTTGCGCACCATTCGTAGCTCTCCTTTTTTTAACTTAATTATGCATTATCACTACCCTATAGAATAAACTAGATTACCAAATCTTATTTCACTTGCAAAGCTCACTAGATCTTTTCTTAACGGTCTATTGCTTTTTTAATCGCCTTTATTACTTCAAATTCAAGCTAAGAGTTCATTAAAAGAGAGTTCGTTCGTAGTTCCATCTTATTGGGACAATTAAATTTGTTTCGTTCACTAAAATGTGTCAGCAAAAGGGAGGGTAGAAGGAGAAAACAAAAGCTTACTTCGATACAGGCACTAATTTTGAAATAATTTGTCAGTGTCATTGAAATTATATTAAAAAAATTTGTCTTTAAAGTAAACCTTAAGAGAAAAATTTTTATAAAGAAAAAAAAAATTGTGTTTTACAGAAAGCAACAACATTTCAAAAAATGTCTGTATCAGCATCCACCCCCGTTAATATTCGCATTTGTCTGGTTGGTGAAGTGGCCAAAGATAAGTCATGTTGTGAAGCTGCTCGAACTTTTGGCGTGCCCGTCATAACTTCAGAAACAGGTCTGGAGTTAATTGCCGATAACGACTGGCGAACATATTTTGTTTTAGAAGATTTTGAAACACCTATATACACCGCATTACTCGAAACCAAGCAAAGTATTCTGGGCCCGCCAGCTATAATACAAATCGCTGCATTAAGAGGTGGCCTCAAAGAATACCCACGTCCCGTTTATAATTATGCTATGAACTCTATTGTGGCGTGTTTCACGGGCGTACGTAGCAAGGAGGAACTTAAGAAGCTGGTGAACTTCATTCATGCTATGGGCGGCGGTATACGTAAAGATATTATGAATGTGGGACTTACTCATCTAATAAGTACACACAGTGGTGGTGATAAATACGAATACGCTAAAACGTTCGGTTTAACCGTGGTTAGGCCAGCTTGGGTATACGCCGCCTGGGAACAACGAGATCAACTTGAATTTCGTGCTGATACCGAGGAATTCTCAAACAAATATAAGCTGAAATGCTTTGAAGGACAGAAAATTTGCTTTGTAGGATTTCCGGCCGATGAACATAAACTTATGTTGGAAATGTTAGAAACTAACGGCGGTGTACATGTTGAATTAGGCGATCCTGAATGTTCACACATTGTGGTTGGTCAACATGCGACGCCGGTGAAACCCGAATCAAAGAGTAATCGAACTCATATTTTGAAATCTGATTGGTTTTGGTACACAATTAAAAACGGTTATGCCATCGAAAAGAATTATCTGTTCGATGATAGTTTATATAGCGTCGCACAATGTGAGAGTTTAGCATACAAAGAAACAGTGATCAAAAAATCTTCCATGCGATTTATATATTTCATGGAGTTTTATACCACGGAATCGAATTATGTGGGTATACTCGATACAATTATAAATGTAAGTAATAAACTTAAGTTAACCTTTCTGGTGGATATTATGGCAATTTTTACCTTTTAATAATTTAAGGTCTTCAAAATTCCTTTAGAAGAGAGCGTAGAAGATAATGATGCTTTATTAAATGAATTCAAAATAAAAGCAATTTTTGATAATTTTCTACCCATACATGAGGTGCACCAGAGCCTGTTTGCACATTTAGGTGTCATACGTGCAAAGTGGTCGGAGGATTGTTTAATCGGTGACATCATATTGCAACATCGCGGTGATTTAATTAAAGCTTACCGGCCCTATGTGAACTTCTTCGACCAAATGAAAGAAACTTTAATACAAAGTGAACGAAAACATCCTCGATTTCAGGAATTTCTCAAAATCAATGAAGCGAAACCCGTATGCAACCGACAAAGATTGCAGGACTTGATGATATGTCCTGTGCAACACCTACCCCGCATTCAGCTTTTATTGAATAATATACTTAAACATACGAATCAAAATAATCCCGATTATTTACGCTTGGAAGATGCATTAAAAGCGATTAAAGAAGTAATAATGGAAATTAACAAATATAAATGTGAGACGGAATCACCAAAGGTCGGGCGCGTCTTCTCGTTTAGGAAAACTCGGTCGAATTTGAAACGTGCCGTTTCCATTGTAAGGACTTCACTCTTCGGCAGTCCGCAATTGCCACCGAGACGTTCCGTCAGTTGTGAGTAAATAAAAAATAGTTTACAAAGTTAAGAATCGATGTTACCCACGAACGTTGTGGTTAAAACAATCATAATTAATCGAAAGTGTTTGTCTTTTCAACACAACATTACAAAAGGATACGATCCGAACCTCTGCCGTTTTGGTTTTTCATTTCTTTTTATTGTCGTTGTCTATTTCAAGTATTGTGACAACTCTGCTTTTACATTCATTATTGCTAATTGTGGTTTTTTTTTTTTTTAAATTATTTTGTTATTAATTTAAAGATTGTATTTTTTGATTTTGTTATTAATATTACCTTAGCAAATAAATCGACTACTGCTTTTTATAAATCTTTTAAGAGAGCAAACATATTCTTAGTAAAAAAGTCAATCTCCATATTGAGAACCTGAGAAGAGAACAACATTTCGGTAGAATATGGATTCCGTGTAGAAAACAAAATACTCCTTTTGAAGCTGCCTCTCTAAGGGAAACTCCGCACGAACAGATAACTCATAGATAGCAACCAGGGTTAATCAAAAGGAATAACATCTGCTGACGACGGCAGCAAGATATAACCTGAGTGAATTTTGCTTTGTAAGACCATATTTCGTATTAAAGATACACGATATCACGTCTTTTGATATGCTATGCCGTTTTTCGTTCCGATTGCATCAGGTATTAACTATTAGCAGGATACCCAAGTAAGCAAAGCGTTGTATATTTGCAAGAATCCAAAACAGGCCAAATCCATTTGACGCTATTTAGGGCCGACGTGGGTAGTAAGTTTGTAAGTTCACTTAGCCTGCTTTATGGTTAAGACCAATCGTAACGCATCCTATATTGACCCCTAACGCGTCAGCAATACTATTCTTTGGATTAAGCAGAAAAAGTAAAGTTTCCCGTAGGCATAGATCCTAAACACAATATTTTGAACATTTTCCAGGATAATTTATGTTATAGTGCAAAACCGATGTGAAAACGGGAGAATTTATTCAATGTTAAAATGAAAATGGAAGCTCGAAGTGATCGGAGGAAATATCCTGTGTGCATGAATAATAATCAAATAGGACGTGCAATTTCTCCAAATCTATGTGAGATATTCAGAGTGAATGTGTCATAGAGGACATTGGTACTCGTGAAAATTATTACTCATAAAAGACTTGTCTTCCGCATATTTATGTATGTTCTTCATAAACAGGTAAGAACGTTAAGGATATACTTTGAGAACCTGCGAATAACTTTTTTATAGCCATTACTTGCAGATATAATATTTACATATATTACTTAGTGAAGGAAACTCGTTCTGTCTTTAATCAAATAATAGAGCGGTATCTATCTATCTGGCCGTCTCTTTTTCTATCAGCACAAATCACAGTCCCAATGTTTTGTTAAATCTGAAATTCTATTATGTCCATGTATGCAAGATCTCGCAGAACTTAAGATAGACGTACCTCTTATTATACCCGTCGATTCATAAAGTGTGTGTGTGTTAGTGGTAGACCTATCTGCCTGGCTTGTTTTGTTGGGTTAAACCCAGAGGCCGCAACTTTCAAGATATTTTAATGAAATTTTGGTGCACTAACGAGTTTTGGCCTAAGGGCGGACGCTTTTAAAAATGTTCGAGATCGGGCCACTGGATCGACCAAATGCCACACAGCGCCTCATATTGCTAAGCGGTTATATGAATAATTTTTGGGTAGCGTAAGATATTTAATGGTCGGTCGTGGACCCTTATAGTATTTTTACTTTTTTCTTTTGGATTTTCAGTTTGTCAAAAGGCTTAACTCATAGCATTTTATTGGCTGATTAACATTTTATATACGTAACGCGGACTGATTCTAATTATAGTTAACGTTGCGGTTTCCAAAAACGATATATAAGTAATAATACGAAAGATGGTTGGGATGAGATGGTAACAGACGTTATGCAATACAGTAAAAGTGGATGAATGAAAGCTTTGAAGTGTCACTGTATGACATACAATACGGGAAAGTGTATTTATTAGCAAAATGTCGTAATTTCTGCGTATTCCTAACTTATCACATCTCCTTCAATGGACTCCATTACTTCACTCAACATAGTCCCAACGCATATTCAAAGCAAACTAGTGGAACGAAGTAATTTCGAAATGATACAATTTATGAAGACCCCATAGAATATTTCTAGAGTTAATTAAATGTTTGTTGGATGATATCTTCCGTTTCATATTTCACGAGTGTTAGATGTCGACTATAGTAAACTGCATTTTTCTTCTTCTTCTGCAAATCAATAACCAAACATTCGTAAGGTTGTGCGTTCTTGGTAGCTCTGCCATATTTCATTTATTAAATATGAACGGGAAGGGAAAGCCTATGCTAGATATATAGAATGTGTACGAATAATACTTACTGTTGATAAAGGAAATTCAGTGAATGAATGATTTTGAAATGAAAAGTGATTGAATTTAAAGCAAGGTATACGTGTACATTCTCAAGAGTGCGCGACTGCGTGAGTAGATTCAACATTTTCACATATATACTGCGTTTTTGTTTTTGCGAAAGTAGACAAACGTGCATGCAGCACTTTAATCATGAAAATGAAACCAAATTTCATTTCTTCTTTGCGCTCACAAAATGAAGTGAAAGTCCCTTTAAAGAAAAAAAAAAAAAAAATCAAAAAGTTTCGTCATATTTGCTTTCGCCGATAATGCCTTTTTCACATAGTTCGGTACTTTTATATATTAAATCAATTTGTCATTCACCGTCAAAGGTAGACTTACTGCCAATTAAATTAATAACTTACGTACAAGAATGGCACAAAATTGATAGTTTACTAAAGGGGAAAGAAGTAAAAGCTTAAGAGCAAAACCCATTAAGATATTTAAAAAGTGTTATATGAAACTTTTTTCTTCATTGCACACTGGCTTTTTTTTTTTGAACCCATCACCGGAGGATAAGGGTTATATTTATTCTGTCAAAACGTTTGCGACACCTAGATAGGCACTTCAGAGGCCTATATTCTTAATCAGCATCAAATTCTGAATCGATTTAAGCACGTGCCTCTGTCCATCTATTTAAAGTCCGTTGCAAACATTTTCTTGATTATAAAAATGAAGCTTTCGTCTCTGAATACGACAGAAACATTGAATGTTCTTGCACGCAGGTTGCTATTGAAAATGGATCGAATCGGACATGCCTATAGGGAAAGGGAATAAAAAATTGTTTTCTTTCTCATTACTATAGCAAATAATTCTACAAAAATTTGAATATATATTCCGTGGGCGGTGTTGTAGTACCTCTAAAAAATGGAAAAAATCAATTCCATAACGGGTCATAATTCCATTCTGTTTCATTCCAAAATCTTTGTAACGCACGGAAGCAAGCTTCAGAAACCCCATAAAGTATATGCGCTCTTCGCCATTTTCATATACGGAGTGCACCTAAGAATCCGTTTCGTTCATCCGTCCACTCATTTGTCCCTCTATGCATATGCGTCATTTTGGAGTATATGTGGTAAACATTCTCCTATTCGCAAAAATGAGGATGTCGCCTACAAGCTTGCAAAAGAATTTGAAAGTAATCGAAACTTTTCAAAGAACTCGCCTATGAATACGTTTACGTTTTGTGTCTTTTACACACAAGCACAATGCAAGCATTACATACATTTCCACCCCCATTTTGAAAATAGACAAAATCAACCCCGCCTACCCAATGTTATGGTATTTCAAAAAATTATTTTTTAAACACCGTTATAACCCGCGAAAGCAAGCTATCAAATTCGGAATGCACCATCGATCTGTTCATCTGTCCGTTCGTCCGTTTGTGCAACTGTGCGTTAGCTGTTGTAAACGTTCCCCCGTTTGGTGCATATGAACATACCGCCTTCAAATTTGGTAGAAAAGTTTCTGTCAAAGGTATCTGTCATAGGATACGCCTACAATGCTAGATAAATCGAGAACACGCTTGCTTTTTCGATTTTTCGCTCATTATTCATAAGCTACAATAGACATGCTACAAAAATGTGTATTTTTATTCTATCAAAATATAAAAAATCAGCCACGCCCTTACAATATTACAGACTATGATAATTTAGTGCTTTTCTTTTTCTAAAGTGTTTTTTTATTTTTTTTTTTTTTTTGAGATAATGATCGTCATAGCCGCATATAATTTTATTGCTTGCTGTAATATAATTTAATCGACATATTTACATTTATATACATATCCATATACATATTTGTAAAGAATTTAATTCAATGAAGGTTTATTTTGAGATTTCAAAGAAATATCACTTGCAAGAGTACGGATATTATTTGTTTACCTTTCCTTATCTAACTACAAAAACATTTATTTATTATACAATTAGTCTTTACACTCCAGTTTACCCATTGCTAATGAAATTATAGATGCTCGCCATGTACACGTATGTCTAAACGTTCCACATTTGTTTGCTTGCACTTATTTTCCTGGAATTTCCTCGAAAGAGCGTTTATTTCTGTTAAGATTTACAAAACAGTCAAGGACACCTTTTATTCTAGTTATTGATTTCTGCTTTATGTGAAAAATTAAAGAAAAATTAAATGTGATGAAATACGATCTCATGAGGATGTGGAAAGGTAAGGAAAGCTCGTGAACACTTTCAATTAATACGTGTATTGGCATAAACTACTAGACACCCTATAACACTTAGTACTATACTATGTTGATATAGTAGAACTTGTAGTCCATTTTTCCCCCTTTCGCACTTTAGCAATATTCAGTTTACCTGTCAACTATTTTATTATCTTCCAGACGCTGAGCCACAAATAGGTCGACGTAGTCCAAATTTGGTAACGCCAAACTTGTCAATATTGAAAATTGAACCTTTTGACAAGACTCAGTCAGTTAGAAGATTCATTTTCGTAGGTAGGTTATAGGGGAGAGGTTTTACACTTCGTTGTCCCAACTAATCTAATTTTTTTATAACAATTTAGAATATTGAAATACTGCTCAGCGATTTCTGTTACCAACTTCTAAAAATTACAATATTTCTTCATATAACGACTCTTCCAT